TCTCCTTCATTAAACCAGGCCTTTGTAAGGTTTTATTTGTGTAGTATTGAGATGTCTTTGACAGTGTCTTTCTACAAAATCCATGAACAAAAACATTTTAAAGGCATTTGGGTGGTAGGGTATTATTATTAATAAAATAAGAAATATCTTTTACTTGCTACTGTGGTTTAATAAGGCTTAAGCATTATTATGATATGATTATTAATAATCATTTACCAAGCTTTTTCGATGACAGCAGTTCTGTGATCCATTTCGATCCATTCGTTTAAAGAAAATCACTTTCTTCAATTTCTAACCCTAAAATATGTTGACTTTTTCATTACGTGTCATGCCAATGACGAATATCACGATTATTTTGTATCCAGACAGAATTATCATCACATACAGAGTCAAACCAAAGCCACTAAACTGAATGATTGATTAAAGTAATAAATTTTAAAGCTTTCTAAATATTTCAAATTTATATGAATAACGTGCTATTCTATTTGTTTTCCTTCATTTTTTTCAGATGAGTGTTATGAAGCACTACTTGCTGAGCAAAGTGTTGAGACACTCAAACGTCTTTCTGTGAATAATGAATGCATTCCGATGCTCCTCAATCGTCTGCCGCACTGTGTACCTCGCCTGTTAACACTAGCTAATAGTCTAGGGGAAGAAGTTAGTCAGAGTATCAGCCAAATCATCCTCAATCTAACACAGGTATGTATCCTCAATAATCTGTTCACATTTATTTTAATTTCGTTTCGACAGTTTTAAATTGGAGCATCCTGTTAACCTGCAATTATTTTGATAAAGATTATTGCTAATGATATGCTTTGCTACGTTTCAACCGTATGCTGGAGAGAGAGGGAAAACACACGGATGAAGAAAGCAAGAGAGTTGTAGAGATTAAAGAAAGATCAGGAGATAGCGAGAAAGAAAGAGAGAGAGAGGGAAAGAGAGGGGGAGAGAGAGAGAGGGAGGGGGGGGGGGGGGGGGGGAGGAGGAGGAGGGTGTATTTTTTTGTGTATTCTAATTATGTAACAGTTTTTACTTTAAATTTAAACACAACATACATTGATATGAAAGTCAAAATCTGTTTACATGAATGAAAATGGAAAGATGCTTAAAAGTAGATTTTACTCTCAACGTTTCCTTTAATAAATACCATTTTAAAGCCGTTTTCTTGACATCGACATAATTTATGCATGTATACAAAATAAAAAAAGAAGAGAAAAAACAAAACAAAGCAACAAGATTGATAACGATATAGGAAATCTATCCCCTGGGCATATGCCTTTCCTTTAAAAGGGCGTCGTATATTCTTTGGTTCATGGTGGTAGTATTTCCTAGTTATGTCATGCCTGTGTTATTAATGATTGATTTGTATTCAGCGTATCTTTGTTGCTAAGCAGACCATGATAATCTGAGTAAATATTGACACCATTTTGTTTCCCGCTCATTATGAATGCAGCTATAGGAGCTCTATGCACATCATCTCAATCTAGGGATAGTCTTTTGAGCGTGGAACCACTAACAGATTTTATGAGTAATCCAGAAAGAATGAAATGATATGATAACAAACATTAATCAAGAGACATAACGAAGACATATCATTGCATTATAAATCGATAAATTTAGCTGAGTGCACCTTCGTACTTAATTTGTTCATTATATATTCGCAATCGACATTTTGGGTGCTTCAACAACATTCATTTCCATTTACTAATAATGAAATAAATTTCATACGTCATTAAAACCTATGAAAACACAAATATAACGACTTTACGATACTATTTTAGATGTAGTTACCTGAGATCTGTGTTTATTTGATACATAATGCATAATACATAACAACAAGTGTGATAGGTGGGACTGGTGAATGCCATTTTGGATACACATTTTTATGTAAATGTGCAATTTTTAACACTTTTGCTCTTTAGGTTTGAACAGCATTTAATTTGTCTTGATACATGCATGTGACATTACTCTTATACAAATAGCTATATAAATAGAATATTCAAATAAAAATAAGAGTTTTTAATCGTGTTACATCGTCTCGATCAACCTTGTATGCCGGCCGGCCGACCAGATACACCTCTATAAACAGACAACCCCTTATATTTAACACCCCTAAACAATCCTGACCATACACAAACCAAATATTCTCTGTATAAGAGGGAGAACCCCTTTAAAGCTCCAAGCCACATTTCATTCGATCGACTCGCCCGCTCAATCAATCGCCTAGCTCTAAATTAGTATCTGGGTCCGGTTTGGTCGGTCTCGAGTCGTTACGCCAAGCCGTGGAGGATCGAGGTGGGCGAAATTGAATAAATGTTATTAAAAGTCTGACTAAGAAGAAGAACAGATGTTCCTGTTGACAGTGAGTCCAAGCAAATGAAATACTGCAACCTTCTCACCCGTGGAATATTATCGTATGATAAAATACGGAAGTACTAATGAGGGGGAACATGGGGTAGTTGGGTGGGGTTTGCACCCATCTTCCTCAGATTTAAGAGCTAGGTGACACATTATCACCGCCATGAGAGAACACAGTACGATCGACTGCGTTTGTCAGGTTGGCTGTGTTCGGGGAGCAAACGATATCTGAATGAGTTTATAGAATGGATCAGAACAAGGGAGAGGAACCAACACAAAATGAAATAGTGAATGATAAGAGACAAAGCTTGAGATAGAGAGATCGAGATCAAGATAGAAAGAGAAAGAGAGAGAGAGAGAGAGAGAGAGAGAGAGACACACACACACAGAGACGAACGATAGATATAGATATATTTTGTTATATCAACATTTTCCCATATAAAATTAATCAGCTGTGACTTTGTTGGAATCAATGAAAAAGTCTTGCCCATTGTTTTTGTTTAGGATACGGTAAACGAAAATCTCAAAATAGAATAATACGGTTATTTAATCGCAGAGTGCTCTCCTCCACCAAGATCTCTTCCTGTGACTCCATGCACTCCACCATTGACATCACGTGATCAGTCAGTTAGACTTGACGCTTTGATTAGTGAGTAGACAGGATGTCTGCTATTCAGATCAAATTGCTCACTGGAATGATGAGAACAGGTTCAATTCATATGATATCTTTATACAAAAAATATCATTAAAGGAAGAGTCGTGAGTCTTTTTTGTGTGTAGTCATAGACTTTTATGTGTTTCTTTCAGGAATTCACCCTTCATTTAGTTCGAAGCTGATTTTAATTAAAAGGACCCATGCAATTCATGCAGTTTTTTGTTTACATTGCATTATCTTTAGGTTTATGGAGTGACTATTGGTAGTAGGTGAATGGATTGATTATTGGTAGTAGGTTAATGGAGTGACTATTGATAGTAGGTTTATGGAGTGACTATTGGTAGTAGGTTTATGGAGTGACTATTGGTAGTAGGGTTATGTAGTGACTATTGGTAGTAGGTTAATGGAATGAATTTTGGTAATATGTTTATGGAGTGACTATTGGTAGTGGGTTTATGGAGTGACTATTGATAGTAGGTTTATGGAGTGACTATTGGTAGTAGGTTTATGGAGTGACTATTGGTAGTAGGTTTATGGAGTGACTATTGGTAGTGGGTTAATGGAGTGACTATTGGTAGTAGGTTTATGGAGTGACTATTGGTAGTATGTTTATGGAGTGACTATTGGTAGTATGTTTATGGAGTGACTATTGGTAGTAGGTTAATGGAGTGACTATTGGTAGTAGGGTTATGTAGTGACTATTGGTAGTAGGTTAATGGAATGAATTTTGGTAATATGTTTATGGAGTGACTATTGGTAGTGGGTTTATGGAGTGACTATTGGTAGTAGGTTTATGGAAACGTTCTTTTGAATGCAAAGTACTTCTCTATAATCCACGAACACTCTCTCTCTCTCTGTCGTTCTTGCCTGATGTAGACCCAACATCATTCATGCACCATTTACACTCAATTCCTCCCAATAGTTTGAGAGGTATCTCATTCACTCCCTCATGATTGTGTGCGCGTCCATTTCTCTTTATAATCTATCCTTTCTGTTTGTATCCCTCTCGTTCTCCTCTCTACGTCTCCTAGCTCTTATCGGTTTGGCTGGCTCATTACATTTCATTTATACTGCCTAATCATCCATATTACTTTTAAGACCGGTGAAATGTGCGATAGAGAGAGAAATAAAGATACACATATATAAGGAGGGAGAGACAGAGATACAGAGAGAGAGAGAGAGAGAGAGAGTCTTCGTGTATGTGTGTGTGCGTGTGTGTGTGTGTGTGTGTGTGAGAGAGGAAACTTTTGGTTGGTGGTACATGAAAAAGAGAGCAACACAAATTTCCATTGCACAATAAAATTAAAATTGAAATAAAGGATAACTAAGGCAACGGCTGTCGAGTTATGCGTTGTAAAATAATATCATTTGATTTCAATTTTTACCATGAAGGGAAATGAAAGACTTAATATGGGTGTTTGTTAGACCTACGGGTCTTTCTCTCGAATAAATCTTTTAGAAACAAATTATTTCGTGTGTTTGTAGATTTACCGTTGTTGTAAATATGACATCCTAATACTGCTTGAATGAGTGATGACGGTCGTTGCGAGCAAGGATAAACTTTGATTGTGGAAATTGAAAAGAAAATGATGAAAGGAAAGGATGGTAAGAAACAGGGGGATGGGGGGGGGGGGGGGGGAGGTTCCAAATCAAGAACTCGCTCACCTTGAAGTTTAGTATGATGCATGATGCGACTCACTCTGACTCGAAATCCAGCCTTCATTTACAAATTGGTACTTTACGATCTTCGTACTCCTTGATAATTTACAGTGGGAATTTCTTAGCGCATGCATAATGTGGGATTTGAGGGTAAACAGCCTTCAATTTACCTGGGCCTAGCATGTCGAATAGATTACGATACGTTGTGGTGCTGCATTAGGTGATTAGACATCTCAAGGGCTTCCATCAACCTATAGGGAATGGTCACTGTCTACTTGAGAAGATATATATTAATGTTTTATCATTTGTTTTGTTTACAGTTGATAAAGGAAGACTTGGAGGAAGGTCTCTTGTTTGAAGTGCCGTATGGAGCTGCTCAGAGGGAGGAGAGCTGGGAGCATTTGGCCAGCTTGTGCAAGTTGGCTGTCTTACTGTTTCCTGCTTCTGGTTCAGTACGTCTAGCATCTATAGTATCCTACAATCAAGTGCTAGAGACATTCCTAATGATGGGTGATCAGCAGACAGCACAGAGGAGGTTAGGCCTCTCACGTCAAAATGCAGAGGATGCTAAAGACGGACCATCTTCTCTTGAGCACTCGGAACCTAAATCACCCAAGAGGGGTGGTTTCGTGCAATCATTACGTAACAGCTTCAGACGGAAATCTTCATCCAGTATTGGACCTAAACAGGACTCGCTCTCACCAAAGTCTGCAGAAAAATCCAAATACCTTCAGGTCGAGAGTGCAGTTGACAAGGACAATCTTTCTACATTCCAGACGACTTCCTTGTCAGCAGTGTTGACTACTCTTAACCAGGTGGTTGCACGTGATGACCGTATCGCTCAACTCAAATCAGTGATCTGTCGTCATGTACCAGAGACTGAGATAAACATGACCCCTAGAGCTGGTCCAGGTAGTAGACGAGGTGTCTTCAGCCATAGGACGTCTTATACATCACATGGACACCGGGATGATTCCAACCAACCCATCGTTCAAGCTGCGCTACGATTGCTTTCTTCGTTAGATATTAATCTACTCTTAGAATGCATCCAAACCGTAGGCATTGCACCCACCACGCCTGTAGCCAACACCAAACTACACATACATCCCACCAAACCTCGGGAGAAGACTGACTGTAAAGCTAAAGGATTCCCAACTACATCCATTCCTGGGATTCGGATATCCCAATCTGACGATGACAATCTAGACAGTCCACACATCACTACTGATAAACCCAAGACTAACAGTGCTGATCCTGTACGGCAAGCTAGGATTCTATCTGCTCGAGCACTGCTTACCATCGCTAGTCTACCGAGTACTCGAAGAGCACTTGTCCGAGTTGAGCATCTTCATAGATTGTTAAACGTCTTAGAACCAACAGGAGACAAGGTAAGAAAACAGAATGATTTTTTAAATTCAGAAATCACTAATTAATATTATTTACGATATATTATACAAATATTAACTGCTTTGAGGGACATGGTCAAAACTATTGACCAAGGTGAGCTCGAGACTGTACTACATGTATGCCACCTCGAAACGAAGTCGAGGGGCATAGTACAGTTTAGAGATCACCGAGGAGCTATAGTATAACCGTTACCCGAAAATAAGCAGTAAATATTTGTTTCATATACCGCATTCCCTCTGTCAATTCTTAAAAAGAGAAATGTTAACACAATATACCGCTCAAAGTGCATTCATGTGTAGAGTGAAATAAAGTGAAAATACCGTCTAAGAGCATTGCGCATGTCTCACTGCATGCATGTAACCATTGTTCACATGACTGCCTGCTTTGTACCATACCCGGTCAATATTTTCCGCTATACACTGCCCAGCAGTCATTACCGAATTCCTAGCCTCCAGTTTTGACTTATTTACGTGTGGTATATAAATAGAAATTCATATCAAATGTTACATGTCACTTTATGTCACTAGAACCGAAAAAAATTAATAAATCGATATTATCTTGTAGGAAGGCGCGCAAAACAATTCGTTTTCACGAAGTGACGGTAGTGAAAATCGTCACGCAAAGTGAATGCAATTCACTTCGTGAAAACAGCGACGAATTATTGCTCACGTTAAAAACAAACAAACATATAAATAGAAAACAATTGGTTTAAAGTCCATGTGTTTTTCACGTTATGAAAATGATGGTATGAAAAACATATCATTATACGGATAGAGCAGTTTAATGATACACCTAAAGTACAACCCATACCCCCAGTCTGATTCATGCATTTGAACCCCTTGATTAGAAACAGTCGTAGGCCGCTCTCATTGCCGCTCTAACATTGAGAATCATACAATATTCATGTCACATATGGAGAATTATTGAGAGTGTTCATAAGCTTTATTGACGGTGATTAATAAGCCAACGGCTTTCACAGCACCAACTTACGTCATTGATTTGTTTCAAAGATTAATGCAGTGAAACCTACAAGGTCACTGACAAGGTCATAAACATACATAATGTTTGATGGATTGCTTTGAAATCTACCCGTCTATATCAATCTCATCTATTTGCCATGGCAGCCATACAAAACTAAGTCCAGCATTATTGAATATTCACAGACAGATGTGATTGGGGATTAGTTAAACAGTAGAGCTTTACAACAGGTTAAACTATAACATTGAACACATGATTTTTTGACGACCTGCATGTGCACAATATTAATTTATGGACATTGAATTATTCCATTTTTTTATATTGATAATGTGTATTTTATTGTCCATGAGATTGCATGGGCAAAACTGAAATTATTCAAATCATCGTATTCCAATTGTCATGCACATAATTACAGCGTGAAAGTTATATCCATAAAATGAAATACTATGGTGTAATTAATCGGGGAATAAGATATCTTAAATGTCTTTTGAATATTCGTAGGTATTAGCTAGAAAAACCCATTTGTCTAAAGTCATGCACGTACTCTTACAATAAAATTCAGCATTCTGAAATGGCGTTCAATATGATTTCTCAGCCGAGAAGGCGATCCCGGAAATGTGCATAGATCTAAATCGATGTTCTCTTATTCATTGAGGTTAACTTGTCGAAGATTGATAGGCTTAAGAAAAATATATTAATTCAAAGGAGGAGTCGTATTCCTGACAAAATTACATGACAGCAAGAGCACACAAATTATAATAACCGAAACAGATGAATAGCGATAGAATATATTCTTTGGTAAAACATGACAAACCACACAGGAGTCAGACAGATAGAGCTAGAGCTTGAATGTAATCTTTCAGGTTTCATAATGGAAAGTACAGGTGATGTTATTTTTTCATCGTCTGCTCAAAAAAGTGCACAAACACGCGAGATGAATGCGTTTGGTATTCATCTCATCTCCCATAATGCAACATAAACAGTTAGGGGTCGGTTCTATATCACCGCTGAATATAACTAGAGTTCCTTATGGTTCTGTAGACGATTCATTGGGTCCGATAAAGCCAGGGGTAAAGGTTCATTAACATAAATCGACAACTAGCACACATATTGAATTATCTTCAATATATTACTTTCGAGAGATTGGAGTGATCGTATAATTTTATTTATCGTGATGTTTATTGGTGACATGAAATCAGCTTCTTAGGATCCCGTTTCATATCACTTTACGTACTAATTGGGTTTGCTGAATCCAAATAGCGTCTGCTAATGAAGGCCTATTGCTATTTTAATGAAATAGTGTTGTTACTTTATTGTTTCTCCGTGATGTAAACATTTCATGCTAGACGTAATGATGTGAACGACCTCTTCTGTTACTCCAGGTGAATGAACAGCTTCGGTTAACTGTTTAAATTATGTAAAAAGGTATCTTTATTAAAAACAATCTGCTAGCTACGTTTGTGAACAGCTTCTCATATTCTCACGTGAGCAACTGTTGCTGTAGCCCTCTATGAACATGGTGATCAAATTCAGCTATAGTATATATTAGATCCTAATACCTAAACAAAATCTCCTAGCTCTATGAATAAACAGCTTGTAGCTGACTTTATCACCAGTTTGTGCTAAAACAGCTATGTGTGGGTATAAGGCATGGAAGGTGGAGAGGGGTTGCAGCCCCCCGAAAATTTGAAATTACATTTAATCGGAATACCATCTGGAAAGCGACGTGGTTTATTCTATGTTGTATCTCTTTTATAATATTTCCATACTGAAATTACACTAAAAGGCGATATGCAAACACATAGTGCAACAATAATGGGTGTAGCTGTGATAATGTTTGCTTTTCATCACGTAATTCTCATGTAGAAACAGCCCGTGTCGAAATTATGTCCGATAGTACGCTCATAAATAAAGGGAAACACTTTTGTACCGGCCGCTATATTCATAACTATTCATAATATTCACATGAATAATCAGGTTACCAAACAGGAAGATTTTACAATTCTTAATGTTTCCTGCGATACCCTTATTTAGCAGGCTGAATAGAGGTACTATCCAGAACTGTCAAAGTCGATCGCAAAGTGTTGGAGAGGCAACTTGCTCTGTTGATATTCAACATCTTCGTGTGAAAGAACTTCGTAGCGAGCTTCAAAAGAGAGGTCTTGACAAAAGTGGCGTAAAGGCAACACTAACCGCTCGTCTCAAAAGAGCCTTGGATCCTGAGACCGCAGCACGAAATACTGATGAAGAGACTAGAAGAAGACACTGCAGAACAACCGGGCAATCACGTTCTCCTGGAAATATTGGCCATCGTGAAAAGCATTGACGGAAGACTCAAACGCCTAGAAACGAAGGCAGAAGATCGCGACGCCACGACTAACACTATCTTTGTAGAAGAGTGCATCGTAGACGACACTGACGACACTATCCTTAATATTGATATTGAGGATCTGCCCGGAAACGACGGAAATCAAGACATAGGTCTAGTGGAGATAATTACGGTGCCGACATCTAACCGCTTCGAAGTTCTTGCTGTTCAAGAAACAATAACAGAAGCTTCGCCGTCAACACCTACTAGGCCTAGATCTACTTCTACTTCACCACCATACCCATGAGCAGATAGAGGGATACCGCCACCGACATAGTGTGATCCGCAACAAACGAGATGTAGTTGTGGTCGGTGATTCCATGATAAAACACATCGACGGAAGACATCTCTCCCGCAGCAAGAACGTGAAGTGCGTCTCTTTCCCCGGTGCAAAAGTGAGAGACATCTTCACCTCTTCACCTTGCGAGTTTCTCAAGCCAGGGGGAGAACTGATCATCCACACTGGCCCCAACAACATCTCTGAGGGTGCTGGTGAAGTTTGCAACCAAATCACAGACCTCGGCAAGTCTGTTGCTGCCGAGGGGTTTATCGTCTCAGTCTCTACGATAATCCATCGTAGATGGGAGAGTGAAGCGGACAAGAAGCGGGTTGATGAGATCAACTAGCTGATGGAGTTGGCAGCCAGCGAGAACAGATGGGGCCTCATCATCAACAATGATATCAGCGAGCAGCATCTCGGGCGTGATGGCGTTCACCTCAACAGAGCCGGTCAACGAATCTTGGCAGGCAACCTGAAACGCCTCATCAACAGTGCTGACCAACCGACAACACGAGGCCATGGCTGGACTCAACGGTCGTCTGATCAAGAAGCAGGCAGTGAACCTTGAGCAAGGCGGCATCAAGCCATCTACCGAGAAAACCAGAGTCTTCATTCTGATGAGGAAAAAAGCAGCCCCGTAAAGTCCTACGCCGAATCTGTTTCTGGGAGATCTTTGGATTTCAGTGCAGTCGATCAGAGGTCACGACTGAAACCAGCCTTCAGACCATCCAAGGTGGACATGAAAGACTGGGCGAAATATCTTCAATTTGTAAGAAGGGTATTGAATTAAGTGAAAGTTTGACAAAATCAAGTGATGATCCGAAAATTATAGCTGACGGTCGAAAATATAAGTTCCCTTGTGGGAACTGTGATAAGCCAGTCAAATGTAATCAACACGGCCTTCTGTGTTCTTATTGTAAAAAATGGTTTCACACTAATTGTCAAGCTATCAGTTTTTCAGAGTACCGCAGGTTATATTATGAATGCCCTGATGAGAAGTGGAATTGTTTAACATGTTGTCTGCCATCTTTTTGTGACTCATTATTTACTGACGATTGTTTAGAGAAAGAAAGCCAAAACGAGGATAGACTAAAAGAAAACTATTTTAAGTTAACGCGCGTTACACCTGAAAAGCAAGCGATAGCAAGAATAATTCAGCCAAACCTCAGAGATGAAAACACTTCTCTTTATCAAGATTTTGAAGAAAAGTTTAAAGTTAAAGGCCTTCATTTTTTTCACCTTAATGTGAGGTCTGTTCTAAATAAGATATCGGAACTTAGAATTCTTTTTAAAAGAAAAAGGCTGTCTATTATTGCTTTCACTGAAACATGGTTAAACAATTTCATAAATGATGAAGAAATTGAAATAGACGGATATAAAATCATACGCCATGATCGGTCCTCTAGCTCTGGAGGTTGTGTATGTTTCTATATCAGAAATGATATTGCATTTAATATTATGGATGCTATAAGTACTGGAGATACGGAATCCCTGTGGATAAATTTGCTTATACCAAGATCAAAACCAGTTGTTGTTGGCGCTCTGTATCGACCTCCGAAAAACAATTTGTTTATCGAGAAATTGTCCAATATTTTTGATACATTAAAGAAGGATGACGAAATAATTCTTTTAGGAGACATGAATATTTGTCTTCTTCACAAATCGCCACTGGCTAAAAAATATATTGATTTGTTGAGTCTTCATGGGTTTAGTCAACTCATTAAAGAGGCAACACGCGTTACACCTACATGTTCTTCTCTATTGGATCATGTTGGTTGTACCAAAGAAAATAAAATAAGTCAAAGTGGTGTCATTGATCTAGGTATTAGCGACCATTCTTTTACTTTCTGTACACGGAAAAATATTAGACCGGCTATAGGTCATCACAGGACTAATGATATCAGATCCATGAAAAAATATACAGAAGAGTCTTTCAATCTTCAACTATCTGTTGTTGATTGGTCACGAATAACTGACTATACAGATGTAAATGAGGCATGGTCAATATTTCAACATGTTTTTATCTCAAATTTGAATATGATAGAATTTGGCAGAATCTAAAAAGCTTAGGATTGAAAAATAAGAAGCGAAAAGAACAAGAATCTGTCATTAAAATTGATGGGGAATTATGTCATGATAAGATGGCCATCGCTGATGAATTAATTCTCATTTCACAAATGTGGCTGCCAAATTAGTAGACAAACTCCAGTGGCGGATCCCCCGCCCCCCCCCTTGAGAAAAAAATCATGTAAAATCACGTGATTTTTACCTTTTTGGGGGGTTGGGCCCCCCCTGGCGCTCAAGGGGAGGGGGGGGGGGGGTGCAAATTGAAATTTTTTTTGAGGATCCAAAAAAAAAAAATGTGCTCACTATCCCCCCCCCCCCCCCCCCCCCACTGAGCGAATTTTGGCCGGCGCGTTTTTCAAATTTTCGGGAGCAAAAAAAAAAAAAAAAAAAAAAAATTGTGCTCTGTACCCCCCCCCCCCCACTGAGCGCGATTTTCAAATTTTCGGGAGCAAAAAAAAAAAAGTTGGGCCCCCTCCCCTAAGAAATCCTGGATCCGCGCCTGACAAACTCCCCCCTTCCAAAGACTTTTTCAGCGCAGACAATGATTGTATTCGTGAGTTTTACGAAAGAAAAGGTGTACGTGAAAACAGCTTCGAGTTATTACCAATCAGTGAACAATTTGTTTTCAAAGAGTTACGTAAGTTAAATGTATCAAAAAGTACTGGGTTAGACTTGATTCCAGCTAAATTTTTAAAAGATGGTGCGAAGGTTTTATTTAAGCCTATAAGTTCCTAATGAACCTATCTATCTTGACGAGTACTTTTCCAGAGGATATGAAAATAGCAAAAGTGACTCCATTTTATAAAAAGAAAGATAAAACTGATGTTAGCAACTATAGACCTATTAGTGTTATAAGCGTAGCATCAAAGATTCTAGAAAAATCGGTCTGTGTTCAAATTGAAAGATACTTTAAAGAAAATGATATAATTTATGAATTTCAATCTGGTTTTCGACATGATTATTCGACTGAAACATGTCTAATTCATTTGACTGATTATTTGAGGAGAGAAACGTCCCAAGGGCGCTTTGTTGGTATGGTGCTCCTTGATCTGCAAAAAGCTTTTGATACAGTTAATCATTGCGTCTTATTGAAGAAGTTACAACTAATAGGTTTTGATAAGGTAAGTTTAGATTGGTTCAGATCCCACTTATCTAATCGACACCAAGTAGTGGCCATTCATGATATTCGTTCCAAACTAATGCCTATAACATGCGGTGTTCCTCAGGGAAGCATTTTAGGCCCAATTTTATTTTCAAATTATATAAATGATATGTGTATTTGTATAAAAGACTTCAAACTATTATTGTACGAAGATGACAGCGTACTACTCTATTCAAATCCTGATCCTAAATATATTGAGGAAAAGCTCAGTGAACAGCTGTCTACGTGTGTCGATTGGATGACTGATAATAAGCTTTCTTTACACTTGGGAAAAACAGAAAGCATTTTATTTTGTTCTAAAAGTAGTTCTAAAAAGTCATTTGAATTCAAAGTGACACACAATAATCAAGCAATCAAGAGAAAAGAGTCTGTGAAATTAGTATTTAGGCATTGAATTGGCTAGCGCAATTTCATTTTCATCTTTAGTAGAATCAGTTGTAAAAAAGCAAATTCTCGTCTGAAATACAGATATCAAAGTTGTATGGATTTAAAAGTAAGACGTACACTCTGTTTTGCTCTTATTCAATGTTTATTTGACTATGCTAACCCTGCATGGTATAGTAACATAAACAAGTCAGATCAAAAGAAGTTGAAGATTATACAGAACAAAATGGTGAGATTTATCAACTGTTCTGGTCCAAGAACTCATGTTGGCTACAGCGAACTTTCTAAAGCTGGTTTACTTGAAGTCGACCAAAGATCAAAACAACTCGTATTGCATCACGTGCATAAAATATATCATACTAGGTCGAATCATTATATTCGATCCAACTTCGATCTTGTTACTGACGTACATGATTATAATACAAGAAATAGCCGATTCAACTTTAACTTACCAGAAAGAGTAGGTAGTATTGGAAATTCGTTTTATTACAATGCCATACAACATTGGAATTTCCTTCCCAATGGTGTAAAAGAAATAGGAAACTATGATCATTTAAAGAGGAAATTAAAGGAATACCTAATACTTGACAGTCAGAGAAGAGAAGTGAATGACATGTTATATGATTGAAATTTTTATTCTTCTGTCGGTTCATACTTTTTCATGTTGTATATAATTATGTTTTCGTACGTTATATAAATTCTACAAATTCATCATTATTTTCCTCTTCTTCCTTCTCCTCTTTTTCTTCTTCTCCTTCTTCTTTTTCTTCTTGTACTTAATATCATATCTATCATCAGTTTAATGTTGTTATTATTATTATTATCTTTAATAAGTAGTTCTTTTAATTTTCTTATCTGTCTGTGAATATTACTATTTTAATTTTTAACTTATTAATTTTATACATGTCTGTAAGGGCCTCCACTGGAAATAAGCTCTCGAGCTTTCGTGGGTTTTCCTGTTCAAGCTGACTTATTTTTTGATCTGTTATTATTGTATATTGTTGTATGTTGGAAGCTTGTCGAATAAAAATCAATCAATCAATCAATCGATAGGCGTGTCGCCGGAGAAAGGGGGAAAACCCCTTGCGCCAGGATTATGTTGGGCGCATGCGCGGAACGAATAGTGTCGAGGAAAATAAAAACGCATTAGAAAGTGATGATCTCCAATAAGAATCTATGTTTATTTCTCTTTTGATGTGCAGCAATTCCTTTGCCTGATTCTTCAAGTCTTGGAGAGTTTGTCACTCGACCCACATAACCATGCACCGATGCAGGCTGCAGGTTTGGCCCATCGCCTGGAAAGTATTCTCAAGTTACAACGCACAGAGGCTTCGGAACCTGAGGAGAGTGTACCGGGGCAGTCCTGGGGGCCAGGAGACAGCAAAGTGCTCCATCACATCCAGCTGCACGCTGGCAGGATACTCGTGTATCATGGCTTTATCGAACAGCTTCAAAGACACACTCAGGCCTCCATCTTAGAACTAGAAGGTACACTCTACCTCAGTAATATAATGAAAATGTATGAAGAAACTGTATGAAAATGATTCAAGAAAATATTTTAGGTAATCCCCTAAATATAATAGACCCTATGCCAAGCCCGAGGCAATCTATCAATAATTCAACTGATCAAAGTTAAAATGGAAGAGTCAATGACTTTGCCACTTCACTAGGTATTATTTATCATAATAATTTACCATTTTCGTTTAAATGGAAGTGGAAGGTCTTTTTAAAATGTATATGTTAAGTACATTTTAAGGTACCATTGAACTTCAATGGGCCTGCTACTTCAAACAGGTATTATAGACGGCAAGAACACTGAACATCTGTAGTTCATTTAAAAAAAAAAATCTTCTCAAATTGGATGATTTTGTGAAATGTGGCCCATATTTGCTTTATAATTTATTCAATGAAAAGTAGAAAATAGAAATTACTTGATGACCTCGGTCAGTCTACATGGAATTGCCATACTTTTAAGTTTGATGAAACAGAAATTAAATGCTAAGAAATACCCATAGTATTAAACTTTTAACATGATATTAATTATTTTGCTACTCAATGAAGTTATCCAATCATTTTAAAATAGCTCAGTGTAAACCTATAAATATTTTTTTGATGATGATTTTTCCATTTGAAAGATTTTTGATAATTAGACCTCCATCGAGGTAGATATGTACATGTAGGTCTGCATACACGTGCCTAAGTTAAAGGTAGAGTGTTCATACATTCAACTGTATGCCCAGCATAGGTTACCCAGCAACCCAGAAATGTTATTTACCTTGTACCATGCTAGTGTTGCATCTCTGGTGCCCTTTAAATGTTTCGCCCACATGAAGTTAAATTATTCAAGGTAACTTGAGCTTGCAAAGTGTCAGGTTGTGATTGGGAAATATTGATGTAACTCATAGCATACAGCATGCCATTGATTTGAGAGCCTTATTTTTCTACATGGTCAGATTGATGTTTTCACACCTGGGATGCCGAGAAAGGAAACAAGATAGTTTAACTCTGGTGGATGAGGGTGGGGAGGGAGAGGGAGGGGAAGGGGGAGAGGGAGAGGGATCGAGAGGGAGATGGAGGAGAAGAGAGAGGGGGAGGGGGAGAGGGGGTACATAGATGTTCCAAGGGCAAACTCTATTATCTAGTATGATGTGTATTCTGAGTAAGCAAGACACAAGTGTGCACCTTTCTGTGTTTCTGTGGCCCCATTTTTTGTTAGACAAAGGATAAGTGATTTTTCTTTTACTTGAGAGAGAGATCTTTATGCCCCTCCCATGCCAGAGAATCCCAGTTACACCATTTTTAAGGCAGTGAAAGATTGGAAAAGAACTAAAAACGCATGATGCTTTATGGTATCTTGTGGAGTTTTGATGATTTTTCATTTTCCTTATATATATCATATTTTCATCACTCTTTCATCACAATTTAAGACCCTAATACAAATTGATTATGAAGAAAGAATGCAATTTGAATAGGTAAGCATCTTACAAAATTGATATAAATTGTGTTTCACTGAGGATGTAAATATCAAAATTGAAGTTGAATGGTTTTTTAATATCTACGTTTAGAAAAAGAAAAGAAAAGAAATTCAAATTGGGTAGTAGTGAGTAGCCAGCCATGCAACTTCTTTAACACCACTATGATTCATGGCTGAGTATGTATTTTTCTTCATCTGAAAGGCTTACAACATCCATTCATACATGTATGTCTAACAGCTTGTGACCTGAAACACAAAGAATTCACATTTTTGAAGTTCTATATCTAATCTGATTTCAGTATTTGTCAATATGGAGGCATAATCACAAGTAAGGTCATAAGGTGTAAAGTAGGAATACGATAGGTCTACTCTTGATGTCTTCTAGGTCATAACCACTGTAAAGAGTGAATATATTGTGTTTGATTTGATCATGGCAGCCAAAGTATGTGGTCAGGATGTATCTGAGTACGAGTATGCTTGCTTCAGATTGAGGATTCAACAAGCAAAGGATATACCACCTGCTACATCATTAGAACGTCTCGTCTTACTCTCACTCAGTCAAGGTGAACGCAACAGTAGATCGCCCTCTGTTGTTTCGTCGGAGAGACTCTCTCCTATCCCAGCGAAACGTACCTGCTTGGCAGTGGAGGTCCAGCCCCTTCAAATAGACAGTGAGGAGGTATGTTTATGCAGTCAAAGAACAATTATGTAGAAGGCTTCTTGAATTAACTTGTATAGTTGGACTAAATCCAAGTATTTAGATCAAAAAGTTGATCAGATTAAATTTCATGGTAACAAACTATACAGTTAACTTACATATGTTATGATTTCAAAGCAATTTTTACAAAAATAATAAATAAATAAGTTGAATGTGAAGAAGGAAGACAAGCTCTCCTCAGTCTCGAAAATGAGTAGATTTACCATAAAAATGTTGGAAATTTACATGGTCTACAGTTACTGAATTGATTGATATTTTGCATAATCTGAGTCCTGAGAAAGTAATTGTGCATGATTGTTATGAAGTTTACAGGGAACTTTAGTTAATAAATGCGTTTATTTAAATGGATGAGCCTTATCCAAGGGCACCACACTCACTCATTGACATATATTTGAAATAAAAGTTATCATGGAAGTGTTCCTTGCTAGTATTTTTTTTAAACAGAAGATTACATTGAGTAAGACTCCAGAGACTGTACTTTTGAGCATAACGGTGACCACCCTGATTGAAACGAGTTAATAGTTGTCATAGAAATATGAGTGTGAAAAAGAGGAAGGGGCATTGTCTTTCAGTTACAGTAAAAATCACAGTAATAACAAATTATTTTTCTTTCAATTGTTATTATATATGAACAGACTAGTAGTATAGGCCATGGCATAGGACAGAGAGAGATTGAGAGTGAGCGACCAGAAGGAGGCTGTCCTCTATTGGAGAGTCTACCTGTCTGTGTGCCGCCACCCATTGCTTTCAGGTAGGTTTAGCAATGGCTAGAAGTTAAACCACTTCCTTGATTGAGCAATGTGATGACTTATGAACTTTATGATGGAAATACACCAATCAAGTGTCTTCTTTTTCTCAAATGCCCTGTGGCAAACTTCTTTCTTCATTTCTGCAGGATTGTTCCCATATATCATGCTAAATCACTTTAAAAATCACCCAAAACAAAATATTAAAAAAAGTGCCTTGGAGCCTTCATTATTTGAAGATCTACTTTTTTTCATCTCACTTACCATTACTTACAAGTGCTATGGTACATTAGTGTATTGTATTATGATCATTTTTCTGCTTCAACCAACAGTTGATATAGGGTCTGGTGATTTGAGACTAACACTTAACCTATACAGTGCGTCCCTGAAAAAACGAAACAGAGAATTATCGATGTTTTATCATAGTTAATCACAATTATAATTAACAGAATTGAAAAAGACTTAACTTCGTTTCGTTGCAATCAGCCATGCATGAATTCTTTCGTCTACGGCTGATCTTCAACAAAATGGATTTCAGTCTTTTGTCAATTCTCTTTGTTGCTATGGCAGGCAGCCAGCCAGTAGATACAAAATTGTTTAATCAAATTATGGAAATGCAATCATTACTTTACACAGACAGAACTTTGTTATTCCTAGCTCATTTTTCCTTATTGAGGTGTCATATGAAAGGGCAGAAAATGAACTTTCTAGAAATGTGATTTTCTCTTTGAAATTCAGATACCATCCACCAAATGTCTTTTTGGTACCCTTTCTTCAAATTGATTTTAATCACTCATGCATGAAATATGCACCATATGAGTTGCATCAAATGAAAGAGGAGGATCTAAGCTTTACAAATATGTGTCATTTATTAATTATAATCGTGATTAAGTTATGATACAACATCAATAATTCTCGGTTTCGTTTTTTCTGGAACACACTGTATAGAGTCTAGTCTGCAGGATTAATGTTTAGTGTGTGAGGGTTTAAAGCAAACCTCACCCCAAGAAAATACTTTTAGCTATTCTAAGAGATTTATTTTATTCTTGCCCGTTAATCTTCAAGATTTCCCTCCAAAGCATATGGAGCAAAATATTCTTAGAATAATGTTCAGTTTTCAGCATGACATGGGCTTCACCATATTCTTGATAACGTGGTGATGTACCATGCAAAGTCGTTTTCTTTAATTTGAGGTTTCCTTTAAGAGCCGCCATTGTGGGGGTATTAAAATGGGTATTTCGAAAAGGTCAATCTTGTAAAATCTACCGCAATTGCAAATAAGTATCCAGGCTGAATATTCATGATCTAGACCTTAAGATGAGGTCATCTTGTCACTTCTTTCATTTCCTTGTAACCATGGTGACTGTATCCAGGCTGCCTAAAACATTTTACTGCCATGGCAGTGTGTGTGTGTGTGTGTGTGAGATAGAGAGAGAGAGAGAGAGAGAGAGAGAGAGAGATATACAAGAAGAGTATGTAGAGGAAGAAAGAAAGAAAGTCAAAGGGAAATATGGAATAAGGGGTTTACAAGTCACCTCCATTTGTATAATAGACAGAATGATAGAAGCTAGGGGGAGTAAGTAGTTCCTTGTTCATCATCAAGGTATTATTTTTTAACCCATAAATCAACAAAAATGTATGGCATTCCAAGTACAGTCAAACCTGCTTTAGTGACTACCTGTCTACAAAGACCACCTGTCTACAAAGGCCACATTTTTTGTTTCCCTTGAAAATGGTTTCTCATTGAATCATGTACTAAAGGAACCTGTCTACAAAGACCACCTGTCTAAAAAGGCCACTTTTTGTGTTTCCCTTGGGTGGTCGCTATAGACAGGTTTGACTGTAGTAGCAGAATTTATGCTATTTAATGATTGTTTCATTCATTTGATTGCATATTTTTTCTCTTGGTTGTATATTATTGTTATTATTATTATTATTATTATTATTATTATTATTATTATTGTAAAGCATTGATTAATTTTGTTTTTCATTCAGGGTGCTGCAGCATATTCTCCTAGCTACCAGTGGAGGAAAGAGAAGAGGATTGTTTGCTATGAATACCAGCAGCAGCGGAAACACTAATAATTCCAAACGCATTCTTCAAGAGAAGGTAAGAACTTCTGTACTCTGAAGATGGCTCAACACAAATTACTTATTGTATTAGAAAACTTAATGTTAAGCATTCCAGAACCTGATTGTGAATGTGAAACCCCCTGTAAAAAAGATAAGTAAAAAGTACTTCTTTTTTTGTAATTGAAAACGATTTTGAATAATAGCCAAAATACAAATGAAAGCTTGTCATTTTGTTCGCTTTAGTGAATCCATCATTTCCATGAAGGAGTATAGTATGTGAAACGTACACGATTGCCATTTACAAGAGATCAGAATGTTGCATCTTATTCTCTGATTTGAAATGGATCTTAAAAGTTCACACCTGTCGCCTGCTATCTGTAGTAATTGTTACATCAAGTGACTGTTTGGTGGTAATACTCTGTCGCACTGTAAATGTGTAATATAATGCTGCCACCTGCCGCACGCCAGATTGAATTGGAGCGATATAGCGTGTGACTACCATGACAATCTTACAAACAACATAGCCTATGCATGTACGATGTAAGCTTGGTTTGTTTCTATTTTCTCAGTGGATAACTAATTATGTATTCATCTACACTTTATAACTTAACTAGGATACTACTCAATGAGTGATATAACTTATATCACCCAATGTTCCATTTTTGTTTCTATAAAATTTGTTCTCCCAAATGACTTTTATGTTTAGTATGAATTTGCTTTTTTATGTTTATTTTATTTTTTTCATTTCAATTTTGTTCACATTAATATATTTTCGTATGATCAATGCTAGTGTGAATAATTTGCTAGGTTATATTTGTTTTTTGTGAACTAGTTGTTATTGAGAATATATTTGTTTAGTATGAATGGCATCTTTTATCTGGAATTTATTTTTTTCAGATATCAAGTTGAAAGAAGTTGATTATGTTCTGAATTGATAATTGTTTACATAAATGGGTCATTAAGATTTGGGCAGTATATAGAGCTTCTATTTATATGACATGATTCTTTTAATGATACACTGTGTATTTTTTTGTGTGTGAATAGGTTCTTCAGATGATTCGTCGATGGGTAGAACACATTCCAGAAGACTTTCTACAAGACAAGCTAATGAGATCTGAAGCTACCAAGCTCTTACAACGACTACGACTCCTAGGACTTTCAGGACATCCTCTTGCAGACCAACTTTCTCTTCTCTACCAGCAGCAAGAAGATACTCTGTCCCTTCGTAGTCTAGGAGGACGCTTCCGTAACCATCATCACCATCATCATGCTCACATCTCTCGGACCTTCTCGTCTCCAGCTGTCAGGGCCAGCATCCAGAGTGCCCCGCCCCTCATCATGGGTTCACCTGGTGGGGAGACATCCTCTGCTGATAAGCTCTCTCTTCAGTCATTCCCAGGCTCATACAAGAATATGGGTTCAGCTAACTTCATCCATAAGGTCACCGGGAATCGATCCTTGACCGGCTCCAGCACGTCCAGTCTCACATCTTTGAACAGTGTCCAGGGAGTCGGTCAGATCTCACTAGTCGACAGGTCAACTGTTCTTCTGTCTTCTGAAGATCTTCACTGTCTCTACCAAAAGGTAAGTACATGTATTATGTGGTATCATTGTATGATACAGATACCATCATCTAGAGCTTGGTGAGACTTAGAATAGTAATACATGTCTAGCTGATTGTATCTTATAATGCAGCAAATGCAGGAGGAAAAGAGATATCGTGTATAAAGTAACAAAATTGCGTTGTAAATGACACTAAATCATGGCCTGGGAATCTGTAGATATTTGTCCTCCAACTGACTTGGAACTTGCCTGAAAACAGAGAGTGTTTGGTTTGCATACACCTTCAAGCAGACATCTGAGTGCTAATAAGTCAACAAACCAAAGGAAATAAAACATAATTGTTAAACAAACATGACTGCTGGCTTCATGGATGAACACAGTCACTACACCAGTGTGTGGATGGATGTTTCATTTTACTTGTCAATATACGGTATAGTCTTGGAGCGTAATAGTCTTATCACCTTGAGTAGTATTACATGTGTTAGGCAGATGTCTGTATATAATCAATCTTACACTGTAAATTTAGGCATGAAATAGTAATTTCAGGTTATGATTGACTATTTAGCAGCCTTATCTGTGCACCTGAATGTAACCTTGTAAGGTGTTGCGCATGATCGATAAATACATGCATGATTAATGAATGAACTTTTGTATAAATTAAACAAAGTCTTTACTTGTTTGTCTTCTATACACAAAACTATAATTTCATGTCCACATACATGGGATGTAAAAGTTTATTTTGAAAAATGAAACAAAATTATCATTGCATCTTGTTTTATCAAAATGAATATATATATATATTACCCAAGGTATGCAATTCCCAGCTAACTTGAAGACTCCCATTTGGCATCTATTGCTTATAAAAATTCCATGAATATTTGTAAAGCATTAATCTCAGTTATTCAAAGTTCCCGATGAAATATGACCCTATATCTATGAGCCAATAGGGTATAATAGACAGACGACCTCTCATTAGAGCTAACTGCTGCTGGGACAATGCGCCTTACATATTACCAATCAGAAGAAATGATATCCCTGCTGTGCAAGTATGGAAGGAGAGAGAGAGAGAGAGAGAGAGAGAGAGAGAGAGAGAGAGAGAGAGAGAGAGAGAGAGATTGGAGGGGTGGGGGGAGAGAGAGAGAGAGAGAGAGAGAAAGAGAGAAAGAGAGAGAGAGAGAGAGAGAGAGAGAGAGAGAGAAAGAGATTAAGTTGGACTAAAACGGTTCTTGAACTCAACTGTGACTCAGAAATTTTTGCGGTTACTCCCATGGATGGTCAGTAAATAGTGCAACTAAAAAGCAGGAGATTTGTGCAAACAAAAGTACCATAGTTGTGATTGCTGATTATTGTCCTAAGGCTAAGGGTTCACCAGACCGTGTTGCTTGATGTCCACCATTTATCTGCTTATCCCATGGACCTACCCTAAGCTTTATTCTGAATCATGTACACTGTACGTCTACTGACTTGCTACTGACTAACAGGGGTTTTGGATTATCTACTTTAGGAATTATACTCGATCCAAGTTGTAAGTTCTGTACATTTTCTGTATGTTGTGCTATTTTGACTGAATTCATTATGTTGGCCTCATTTAGTTATGAATAGTATGGGCAAGTGTCCATTTCATTAGTGCATTTAACTTGATCTCTTGTAAAACTGTGCACATGTTATCAGATACAGAAGTACATCTGTTTTTTTGTAAAGAGAAATTGTAGCATAAATCTTTTTAATTTTATTTTGGATAGTTGTCCTCGGGATCGATAGACAGAGCTTTTTAAATCTTGATTGAATAGAAGTATTCTAGCATGAAGGGCCTAATCGACAGGAATTGTTATTTATATGTTCTTATACTAGCTTAGCCTTGCTTGGAAAGGATTAATGATAGCAAGATACTGTAATATGACCATTTTCACACATTTTTTTACCTTGTGACATGTAATTGCAATGCTTTATTCCATTGTGTTACCAGTTGCAGAAGTCTGTCCTGGATGGCAGTTTACCATGCAGTCAAGAAGACGCTGCCAAACTAGCAGCCATCCAGATCATCATCAACAACCTAACAACCTCACATCAGAAGAAAAACCAGTCCACTCCCTCAAGTCCCGCGAGCCATACATTCCTTCAGACAAGTACTACCTGCACTACTAGTACTCAGAAGCTTTCTAGCTCCAGTTCTAGTAACCATACCTTGGTAGACTCTGAACCTGAATGGCACTGCTATGGTGTGGAGCACATAGCAACAAGAGAGACAAGTATCCTAGACAGTGGAGGACCTGGTCCTAGTGTTGGGTTCTTTGCCTCTGCTCAACGACGTCTGTCTCGTCAGAGCTCAAAGCAAGACTCTTCACCTCTTGGTCATCTAGCAGCTCAATCAGGTAGAAAGGCCTCGTCTGCAGACATTGGTAGTGACATCACAGAGAAGCGTTTACTGGATAAGATATCTGTGGATACAATCAAGCTCTGCCTACCTTATGGGTGCTCAGGATCTAAGGTGGTACAGAAAGCTGTCAAGAAGTTTCATACCACATATGCAACAGTAATGGGAGACCTCAAGGAATCTACACCAGGCAGGATTCACCATGCTAAACAGCTCTATGTGGATCTTTGTAAGAGGATACCATCCTTTAACAGCAAGGTCTTTCATGTCAAGGAGCTGTATGGAAACAGACTCAAGAAAAAGGTAAGACCAATAGTCTTCAATCCTTCCTAGTTTCATAAACACATTTTTAAATGTTTTTTTAAATCCATCTGAACTTGTATAATGAAATAGTTTTCCATAACTATGATTCTAGTGAGTATTCCATTAAACATTTTTGTCCCCTGCTATGATTTGAGAATATTTGTAAAGATCATGTGAGCCCTTGATCATGTGAGCCCTTGATCATGTGAGCCCTTGATCATGTGACCCCTCGATTAAGTGACCCCTCGATCATGTGACCCCTTGATCATGATGAAGTCTAATATCAGGTGGAATAAAATTCAGAAGTGGATTTTGAAAAATATAGTCATAATCATCATAACTGATTGAAACATTCAAGAAAAGTATAAATTGATTAAAAAACTCACCTTTGTCTCAAATTTGATTTGGTATGATATGTTCTTATTAATTGTTAGTTAATGATTAGTTTTCAGATCAAACAGCAATAACTACTCCCATAATATGTTTATACAAGGAATTAAGGAATTGGCATAATTTTGATGATACAGCAATGAAATATGAAAAAAGGGGGCACAGATCAGGGGAGAAGAAAGAGAGAGAGAGAGAGAGAGAGAGAGAGAGAGAGAGAGAGAGAGAGAGAGAGAGAGGGAAGGGGGGGGGGGGGGGGGGGGGGGGGAGGAGGACAGAGGAGGGTAGGGAAGGGAGGGTAGGGGGAGATGTAGGGAGTTACTGCATTGACTTCTTTTCTTGGCTTGTGAATTTCTTATTTGATTGATTTGTTGTGAAGTCAGTATCTGTTGATGGTGTATGCGGAATGTGGTTTGTTTATATATATGTGGAATCCGGCTTGAGATGCTGCTCTCAATAGGGCTGAGCTAGTGCGAGGGACAGTTTGTGATGAATGAGATATCATGCTCAAGAGGAGGATAGTCATCTCTAGGATCAGGAAGGATCCAAAGACAGGCTAATAATTTGATAGAAAGATTTTTTTATAAGAATGATGAGAGAAAGAGAAAGGTTTGCAAAGTCATCTTACACTAGTACAGTGCATGAAAAAATGATTAAAATGATTAAAATGAGGCTCAGATTATTTCAAAACTCAATAATATAGACAAAAAGTGGAATAAAATAAAATAATGTTGTATAGTTATGTTCTCACAAATGGGCAAGGACATTTAAGGGTAGTTAAAGAGTTGGACCTGCAGTGGAAAAGCATTGTGGAAGAAAGTGTGCAAACATACTTTATTGAAAGTAGTAGCCATAATTAATGCTGTGTCCGATACTATTGATAGCATTATCATTCAGGTTTTTAGTGGATTTATTTATCATGAAGTGATTGAAGGAATAGAATAACAAATATTGTACTTTATATAGATTGTCTCTGGACATTAGTGATTGTATCACTTAAGTAGCCTCTGTTAGAGTACTCAAACCTAGTAGGTAAAACAAGATGGTGGTTATACAATTCTGATTCTCCTAGCTACAATTATTAACAGGGATTTATGGGAACTACTGTTGAAAACTATATGGAAAAGGTACATATATTTTACTTAAAATGACAACCACTAAGTTGATACTAATGTGATCTTACCAGGCTCTATCTATCTCTCGAATGAACAAACATGATTTGTATCTGTCAGGCTGAATGAATCCAGATTTTATTTCATACTTCTTCTAATACTGATTTTATAAGAGAAGCAGTAAGAGAGTTGAGAACTAGAATCTATTTTCAAGCAAGCAAGCAATCACAAGTCAGAATTAAGCCATATTTACAGGACCCCATATGGGGATAAGTATTGAGGTAAAGGTTGATTGTTGCATGGCAGAATTCTGGCGATCTTGAACTTGGGTTTGAAAGATCTAGATGTATATATAGGCCCGAGATGATTTCAGAACATGTGGCCATTAATTCGTCCACTCCTGCATTTGCTGATCTTTCCAGTTATTATTTATTCATTACAATATCTATATGCAAGCTTTGTGCATATACATTTCTGAAAAGCACAAGAAAGTTATTCAGTAAACACATGCAATGTAAGTGTGTAAATATAAATAATTAGTATCTAAGAAGATTGTATACATGGAAAACTATGAACTACTAATAAATAGATGTACTTGTCATGCATCCTGGCAGTCTAACTAACAAAATGTTCTGCAGTTATATTTAAAATAAGAAAAAGAGAAACTCTCTTGCTATTTTATTTAGGGAATTGTTCTCTGTCATGTAAAGAGCAACTATTGGTCATCTTCTGTAACTGAGTTCAAAGGACTTCTGTACTTTTTATCTCAATGATTTGGATAGTATTTAGGTGAATAGAGCGCTAGCACTCTCCCTAAAGTACAATGCCTTTATCTTGATTTGAAGTAGTACTGGTAGCAGAAACACTAGAAGTGAGCAAATAGAGAGGATAGATACTGAATGATCCATAGGGACTTAGGAAACAAAGTGTCATCACAAATCCTACTAAATCACATCATAATGCAGACTGATTTTCATGCTCTTACAGTGAAGGAGAGTCAGGTTCAAAGTTAGTTGTTGGGAATTACAATAATATCCTAACAACTCACAGCTAGTCTTCATGCAGACCTAGTCTTTATTATTTATGTTTAAATGATCTAATTGTTATACATCCTTCTCTAATTGTCTGAATAATGCTACCTACCGGTAGATGTTTACTCCGTATCATCAATGTGTTTTTGTTTGTTCAGACACAGGCCGATCAGGGGCAGAGTGAATGTGACATGGTAACAAGAAAATATTAGGGACATTTTTTTTCAATTTTCTTGGCCTTTCATGAAAGTAGGAATATGATACACTAAGGTGAAAGTTAAAAAGTTTTTAAAAATGATTTAGAAGATGTTTAATCTACTAGTTGTGAAACCCCTTGCTGAATTTGAGTTGGATCTATCAACTAGTGAAGTTAACAGAACAACAACATCTAGGTTGTCAGTTTTCTAAACTTGACTAAGACCAAGATGAAACCCACATACAGTTGAGGTATAATATGTTGGGTAATTTACTGACAATAAATCAAACAGATCTTAAAAACTTTAACGAAATAAATTGATGGAAAATATTTCATGACTATACTTTCAAAGGATTCAAAGCCTAAATTTTCAAGGGTTATGAATGAGTTTTAGTTTTTAATGGGAATTATTTGTTATGATTTTAAATGCTTAGTTTGATGGAAGATTAACCCATTTTGGAAATTAGTGAAATGAACATGTAGCACCTCAAATATAACCTTAATGACAACTATTTTTGAAAAAATGAATCATGGACAATATCCAATGGAAGTCATGTTCAGATTAAGTAATACATCATTGTCATGTTCACACACAGTGACATACAAGGCATTTGTATTTGCCTTTGGTTGATTTGAGGAAAGTAGTTGCGGTCAAGTTTGATATTGGTGTTTAAATTCTTGATCAATGTTGAATATGAAAATAGAGCTAAGTATGAAGACTAGAGGGTGGGTGACTGTGATACCGGCGGCTGGCGGGCCACCACTGTTGACTGGTAACTTGGGACAGGACGAAGAAAGATCAACCAGTCATTCCAGCATTGTTTGACAGCAAACTCGCTCATGTTTTGACAGGAATGAAATTTTGGAATGGGAACAGATGTGAGAGTTTACTGCTAGATCCCTCTATGCAGGCAGGCTAGCTTACATCTGTAACCTACCTACCTAGCTACATGTAGCTAGCTAGCTATGTCTGTATGGATATTGTAGGTAAGATATTGAATACATCGTTTGTAGTATGTACAGGCAGCATAGGGAGGAGGTTTCTATTGTTTATGTTTTAGTTGTTATTAGCATGTCCATGATATGATCATGGTTATTTTGAGTGATCCAAGCAGGGATGTATCATCTCCCACGATACACTGTCTTTGGTATGAATATGATGTGAATATGATGTGAATATGATGTGAATAAATCCAGACAGAAGTGATGATGCTGAACAGAGTATAAGTGTTCAGTGTTCAGTGTGGCTAAATTAATGTGTCATTAATAAAAGAAAAGTTGAGTTGCCATTAGAAAAGTCAAGGTCTATTGATAAAATGGTGAGATAGTTTTTATTATGTTCATGATTAAAGAAATAATGAATTGATTCACTTACACTAAGAGAGTACACAGAAAAGGATATAATATTTACAATGTGATATAGATAGATTCTTTTTCACTTTAATTGAATATTATATTATATCAAGAGTAAATGATACTATGAATTAAAAGTTATGATATGGTCAGAAGTTTCACTTGAGACTAAAAATTCAAAATGACATTCAGCAAGGATTGGAACGTAAATAGTGTTCATTCAAGAATAATTTAGGTTAAGAATTAAAAATTAAAACAAAAATTTGACACCATATTTCAGTTTCCACAGGAATCCATGCCATGAATAATATTTTTAACTTACTATCCAAGCATCATTTACAGGACAATCTAGAAAACCAAACTATCTATATAGAGTTTGAATCATTTCATTTTTTAAAGGTACTATGTCCCTTTTGCAGCCAACCTCAAATTCTGTAGAACTTTGCAGGAATTATGAATATGTCATGTATGTCCTATCTGTGAAATTTAAACATTAGCAGTGTCCTCATATTCAAATTATGCAAGGAAACCCGTTTACTTGCTAGACTTCACTGTCAGACACTATTGAGTGACTGACTGGCTTTTTTTCTTCTTTGGTAATAACATACATGAAAAGAGTTGTAAAGGGTACATGAGCATTTGTCTACATCAATAACCCACTTCTTGTGATGGCCAAGATTAAACTGATTGAATCTTTGCGCAGCGTAAAACGTATGACCATTCGGTACAATTGTCTGAAAATCAAGACTATTACTTTTGGGCTCTATAGCCCTAAAGTCGATTTGACAACTAATAGTCATTATTTTCCCACTTGAAGACATTTTCAAGCCCCACCTTTTTTAGGGAAGTTCTAAATAAGTATTATCTTTCAAATGCAGTTGGAATTTAACTTTTTCATTTTTTGGGCCTGCAAATGGGACA